GCTTCATTAAAAACAGAACAGTAATAACATTTTAGGAAGCCCTGTCTTTAAAAGAAAAAGGAGAAAAAGGTTTGTTTATTTTCCTAATTTGCATTTAAATAGATTTCTTTAACATTTACTATTTATTAAGAACCAGATTTGTATACTTTCACTGGATTTTAGCCAGAATAATAAAAAAAAAATACTTAGCTTAAACATAAAACATGAAAAGGGCAAAACAAAACCCCAAGTGGCTTACATATAACATCTATCTTCTTAATGAGGCAAAACTATGTTGGTTTCAGACAAAGAGGTACAATTGCATTATTTAGTCATGAACTTTCCTCTTGGAGGAATTTTTTTTTGTTATATTTTGTGGAACCCACCATTTGTAGCATCTCAAAAAAGAAAGACATCAAAAAGTTTGAAACCACTGTGGAGATATTCCCTTTGTTTGTTTGTTCACATCTTTGAGTCAATCTAGTTTAAGTGTCTTCCGGAGAGCCAAATTTAAATAGATCAGATTATAAAATGTACTAGCTAGAAGGGGGCTTAGAAAGGGTCTGCATGTCTGGAGATTAACAACCCTAGAGCCCGTGGCCAACTCATAGTATTTATTCACTCATTGATTCAATAGGTATTTATCGAGAGATGGAAAGCTATTTGAACCAGCTGTCCCCAGGCACCTGCACTACGTCCTAATGGTGCAGGCAGTGGGGGAGGAGGAGGCTGGGTGTTGGTGAGTGGGTAGTCCCACATGAGGGACAGCACCTCACCCTGGCAGCTGCCTGCTGGGGGTAGTGCCCTGTGGAGCCCAGAGAGAGGAGGCCTTACACAGCCATGTGAGTAAGAGGCAGGGCAGTGTCCCAAGAGCCTGGCTCAACAGACACTCAGTAAATGTGGCATTGGGTAGAAAGAATGAATTCTAGACTGGGGGCTTCACTTCCCTGAACCTGTTTGCCCTAGTCGTGAAGTGTGCCTGACAATAGCACCTTGTGGGATATGAGGATGCAAAGAGATGATGTGGGTGAGTGGACATTGTGAACTCGAGCATCACACAAATGTCAGGGCTGAGACTAAGAAGCAGCCTTTCTCTGATTATGAAACAATGCCAGTTTCCTCACTGGCCTTTTATTCAAAAAGTTGGAAATGTAGTAAGGAATATACAATACTGTATACTGTAGTAAGGAATATACCATCTGATCCAGGAGACTCAATAAAACTATTTTTTAGTTTTAATGGAAAAAATGCATTCCATAAATTTCCAAATCGAGCCTATTGTAAACCAGGATGCTTACCTCCAATCTGGGAATCACCATGGCTTGCAAATGAGAAGCCCAGAAATGAAGTGACTTGCCCACAGTCTTAGGGGGAGTCAGTGACAGAGCCAGGCCGGAAACCAGCCTCGTCCTCATCCCACCTGTCTGCATGCACACACACATCCTGTCTCTGCAGCCAGCTCCACTGAATGCAACAGAGATGACTGCGACCCTTGCAGACAGCCAGGTTTGCAAGGGCGAGGATTATATACAAATCGGCAGCAAGTTTAGGCCCAGAAAAGACTTGTGATTGTCCCTTAGGAAATTGCTGTTGTGGAGAAACCCCGGTTCCTGACGTCACTTGGCACTATCTAGTCCCCAGAGCAGGTCTTTCTCTGTCTGATACATGTATCACTTCTTTGGAGCATTACCTCCAGTGCAAGCTAAACTTTCCCTGAATGCCCAGCCACCAGTGAGCAGCTCATGTGCTCCAAATGCAGGAGGCGGAATCAGGTGGGATGGCACGAACACAGACCTCATTCTGTAAGAAGCCAGTTCCGCGAGGTGCACAGTTCCTCCAGCACTCTCAACTCTCGCCTGTCTTTTAACTCACTTTTGTATTGCTCTCCACCCTGATTGGTCTGTGTTCAGCTCTCCTTGCTCTGTAGTCCAGCAGGGACCTGGCGCCGGGCAATCTAATCATTCCAGTGCTAGCACATAACTCAGCTGCTTATTTGCATACCTAAATAGTCATTTAACATAAAATACAGGGAAGGTCACTTCTCGGCCACTGAGATAGCCAAGCAAGTATATGGAGTGAGCGCTTTTCATCACAAGTTCCAAGGACTTCAGGCATTTCAGATTTGCATTAACTTTATTGATTCTTTTGTCAATAAGGAAATTATTTTAAAATGGGGCTAGGAGGCAGAATTTTGAAGATCAAATGCTACAGAATCAGAGTCCTCTAAACTCTCGGGGAGCTTGTCTTCTTTTACCCCTTGTCCTTAATAATGATTAAAGACAAAAAAAAAAAAAACTAGGCCTGACCAAGTGCAGGGCTGGCTGTGGCTGGTGGGCGCAGGATAGGGCACACAGCACAGATACAGACCCTGGCTCTGCAGGAGCCCCAGCCTGAAACAAATCCTCTGACACAGGGAAAGAACGATACTTCTACGGTTGGTGGAGGTAGGCAGAAGTGTAATTCGAAAGGGAGAATAATCTCCAAATCGTGCACTTTTGCTTTCAGAAGGTGATGTTTTATACTTAGGTGTGAGCTGTGACGGCCCTGATGTTTCTCTCCTGACCTTCAGACAAAGCTAACTGCCCACAGGACACCTCTGCTTGAAGCTCATGAGCCTCTCAGATTCAGCACATCTAAAATGGACCATTATAAACCCACTATTCCCCACCCCCACACAAGCTTCTTACCCTCACCTTTGGGCAACACTTTTGGTGGTGCCTTTTATTACAAGGCCCCAGGTTGCCATGCCTGAAACCTGCCTCTTCTCCCTAGCTCTTCCTCACCCTCCCTTCCCCAAACAACCATGAGTCTTCAGTCCTGCTCCCGGTGGCTCTCAAATCCGCCCACTTCTCAGATCCACTGCTACTCCCCTAATCCAGGTTTCCATGTCTTCACCTTCACCAGGATTTCTATAATCCTCACCAGGATTACTGCAACAGCTTCCTAACCCACTTCTCTGCCCCACTTCTCTCCCTCCAGTCCACTTCCCACGCTGCTATCAAAGCTCCCTTCACACCTCACTGCTCAGTTTAAAACCCTCCACTGACGCCTCGCAGCCACAGTGCGTGGTCCAGGGTCCCTGACGCCTGCGCACAGAACTCTTTGTGGTCAGCCCATCCCACCTCCATCCCCAGCCAACCTCCCCTTGCCATCAGGCTCCGGAAGCACAGCTGAGGACATCGCACTGTCCTGCCCCATGATGGCACTGGGCTGCCCCTGTTCTGCCCCTCTACCTGGAGCACACATCTCACTGGCCTTCACCTGGCTGATCCCTACCTGAGTCAAGGCTCAACTCAGGTGTCACCTCCTCTGAGAAGCCTTCTCTGCTCTTCCCACGTCCCACTCCTTCACAGGTGGGTGAGGTGCTCTCCTCTGTGCTCCCTCAACAGCCCATGTTGGCCTCCGTTGTGTCAGTAGATTTTGTTTGAGTTGTAATTTTAATTGAATTAGTGCCAGGTTGTACTGAAGTTGTATCTGAGTCCATGTGCATTTTCCACCCTGGCCTTTAAGCCACTTACACTCAGGAACCACATTTTAGCCATTTTTGCCTGTCTGTTGCCTCCAGCAGGTACCTGGCACATAGCAGGTGTCCCATAAATGTTGGTTGAATATAACTGAAAGAGTAAATTCACTCTTCTGTTACAGGGGTATAATGGAATGAAGTGGTTCTGTGGTTCTGTCTCTGGGAAGCTCGCACAATCTTCACAGCTTCTTAGCCTGCTCCCGTGCTCAGCTGCTCCCTGCTCCACTCTGCAGCTGGGCCACAGCCCTGAGCCCATCCCAAACTGTGGCGCGTGAGGCTCAAGTAGTGTAGTCCTCTTCTCCAAGTGCACTGTTTCATGCCTTTCCTGGCTTTATCACTTGGCTGCTTTGGGCAGAAAATTATGGAAAACCTAACTTAAACTGGCTTGAATAATAAAGAGGGTTTCTTGGCTCAGGTCCTAAGGAGGTCCCACGAGAAGGTGGAGATCAGGCAAGGCTTGGTCAGGGCTCTGCCTGTTTCTTGCAGTTGTCTTGGGCTCACCCTTTCCCTGCCCATTGGCTTCACCCTCAGTCCGACAGAAGAATGGCTACAGCAATTTGAGGTCAGGACCATGTATAACAGTATTAGAGGAAGAGAAGCTGTATCTAAAGAACTAGGGGTCTGTTTTCCCAGAAGTTTCCAGCAAACTTCCCTTCACATTTTAAACATACCGAATTGGATCACATTCTCATTTCTGAGACAATCTCATTGGTTGTGAAATGTCATGTACGAGCTGGCTTAGGTCTGGTGTCCTGAAGAGCTAGGGGTTCTAGGCAGCTCTCCTTGAAGTGTGTAGGCTGGAGGAGGGTTGGAAGTTACAAGAAAACCAGGGTACAGCGCTCAGAGGAGGAAAATGGCTCAATGCCCGCTGTGCTAGCAGCAGGCAGTACTTACTCTATCCTTACAATCCTCCTCTTCTGGCTCCTGGTGGGTTATAGCAGAAACTCGGGAATTGTGAGGTTGTGAAGTTGCAAGGAAAGTTGATTCGGTTCAGAACCAATTCAACAGTGTGTGTGGCTGGGCAGTGTGTGAGTCGGACAGGGCATGTACGGATGTCCTGCAGCCTCCTAGGAGGATTTGTCTTTTCTACTCATGTGCTGGCCCAGCGGGGAATGATTAAGCCTCCCAGCTTGACTCCTCAGCACCTGTCCCTAAAGCAAGCATGGGGCCTCTTTGAGGCTTTCCGAAGGTTTTACAAAGGGGCAGGTGCTGGGGATAGTAAACAGCTTTCTATCCCATTTCCCTATCTCGCTCATTTTCTCTTTTCCCCTTAGGCTCTGTAGAGCAAAGTAGAGGCTGCTGGTGGGTTCTTATGCTGGAATCGAGGGCTCTTCTGAGGACCCAGGCTGTAGCCTAGCCCTGTGGAAGTTCGGAGAACAATGGCTGGTTCTCACTGGGCACCAGCAGGAGGGCATCTTTCCTTCCAGTAGCTCTGAAAGTTTTGCCCAATCAGACCCATGACCCTTCTGATTACTCTGTGCCTTCTTGTCCCCTCTAGATGTTCGACTGGATAAGCCACAACAAGGAGTTATTTCTCCAGAGCCACACGGAGATCGGAGTCAGCTACCAGCACGCCCTAGACCTCCAGACGCAGCACAATCACTTCGCCATGAACTCCATGGTGAGCCAGGGGCTGGTCTCGCACTGCTGCTGGGGCAGGAGAGCTGGGAGGGGCAGAAACTGTGATCCCACCAAGTAAGAACGAGGATCTCTGAGCGTGCGGACCCTGTAGCCTCCCATTGCCAGGATGGGGCCCGTGCAGGGCACGTGGCCAGCCAGCTGCTCCTGCAGCAGACTGTGGCCCTATTTCTGCTTCTAGACTCTGCTTCACGCCGTGTAAGGAATGTGCTCAGGGTTGTAGGAGATGCCGGCCCAGCTCAAGACTTGGAAGGGCAAGTCACCAGTTCCATTCCACTGACTCAACTGACATTTTTTGGTCCCCAACATGTGTGAGTCACTGAGCTGGGATGGTTAGGGGCCTCAAGCTATGGCACATTGGAAACAGTTCAGTGAACTGGGACTGTTTAGACTGGTGAAGAGAAACCCTAAGGGACACATGATTGCTGCCTTTGAAGGGCTGACTTACAGAGAAAAGAGTGGAATTGCTTTATGTTGGTTTAAGAGGCAGAAATGTTCAGGGGGTGGCAGTTTGAGAGGAGGCAGGACATGGCTTGGGGGGTGGAGGTGGGCGAGATGCAGTGGGAGTTAGCGAGCTCCCCACGATGGGGCGTGTTCAAGCAGACTCTGAATTCAGAGAGCAATATCTGCTGGCTGTGTGGCCAGATGAAGCTTACTTTACCTCTCTATGCTTGTTCTTCATCTGTAAAACAGAAATTATACACTAGCCACTTTATCGGCCTGTTGTGAGGATTCGCTGAGTTAATTGTAAAACAATTGGAAGTGTGCCTGGCACATAGTGAGTCCTCAGTAAATGCTGGTATTGTGATAGAGACAAGGGTATAGGAGTCCAGTCCAGAGGACAACTATTATCCCTCGTAAGCCTAACATCTTGGGATACTTTATTTCTGTGTGTTGCCCAAGACTTTCTTTCAAAATCCTGTCTGCTCCTTGAACTCGTTGTATTTCTAACTCCTGCAGCCTAAGTGTGCCTCAACATCTCTCTCTCCCCTGCCAGCTCTTTCTACTTGCACTGTGGCCCAGAAGAATAGCTCCGCCATTCCCCATATATTTGAAAACCAGAGACACCTTGTCATCACGCCTGGTGATACTGGGAGTGGGTCACATGTTAGAAAAACATAAACACGGAGGAGCACAGAGGGCAAGAAGGAAGAGAATTTCATTTTCTACCAGGTTGTTTTAAATATTTTCTTGCACTGGAGTTAACACTCTGTAGAAGAAATAATCCCCGCCTCAAGGTGTTCAGGGTCTGGTTCGAGAGAAACTCAGACATGATGGTGTAGCCTGATAGGTGCAGTGACAGGGATATGCTGAGTTAACTGAGAGCCTTAAAGTCTCAGTGGTTTAAAACAACAGAGATTTCTTTTTTGCTTTTAGCACACACCCCTCATTAGCTTGTGGGAGCCAGGCTTGTCAGTCACCCAAGGACCAGGGCGAATGGAGCAGGTGCTGCCAGTTGCCTTGCCAGACAAAGCATGTAGCCAGGCACACATGCTGGCTCTGAAACCTTCTACCTAGAAGTGACACGGTTGCTCGCATTTTATTGACCAGTGCCAACCACACGACCACACCTAACTTGTGGCTGGGGACATCATGCAGTCCCACTCACGTTGGGAAGGAGAGAACAGGATAGTTGTGAGTAGCCCTAATGACTAGCATGGAGAGCCACAGAAGGTCATTAGGTAGGATGACATCATGCGATTTGCATGGAAAGACCACTCTGTCTGCAGAATAGAAAGTTGTGAGACCAGGCAGGGAAATCATCAACTATGTTATCCAATTTGGCCACAAAACAATCTTGAGTCTTTATTAAAATGTAAAGGCTCATTTTCTTCCAACTAGTCTCCTATAGTTAATTCTCATCTCCAGCCCACTTTAGTCACTGACGAGGAAAGCAGTTGATCACAGGTGATTTAGAACATGAACTCAAATCTAGTTTGATTATTTGTGTGCCTTGTGGATTTCTCCTGGTGAGGTTTATAAATTCTGTGCAAGAATCTTCACATCACCCAACCACCTGGCCCTAAGGTAGACAAACTCATTTTAATTAGAAACGAAGACCAATATAATTAGGGAGGTAAGGCTGCCACCAAGCCCCTAGAAACAATGAACTACAAAGTTAAACAGAGACTTTGGCTTTGAATAATCTGCAGGACTGCTTTTCTCTGTTCTTGTGGAAAACTGAGTTAATGACACATCAAAAACCTTTGCTCTGACAGATTTCCTGTTGAAGTCTCCATTTTTAGGACAAAAATGAGGGAGGAAATTTACTGAAGGGAAGTAGCTTCAGGAACTTGGAGAGAGGGAAGAAGAGATTTCCTATACCATGGCCAATTAGCATGTTCCAGCCCATCTTGTAGCCTCCCTCTGCTGTGAATGCACACAGCACTCAGAGGCCTCCTCAGCCTGCTTAGGCAGGATCTCCTCTCTGGCTGCAGGGTGAGGGAAGGGAAATCCCACGGTTGTTGGATCAGATTGCCTGGGCACCTGTGCATTATAAACACGGCTTGGTGCCTTTGTAAACCAGGAGGCTTACAGGTTTGTTATTAAAAGAAACTTCCTACAAAGAAGGATGGCAGCATCCCAAGCAGGTGAAAGGATGGAATTACAGGCTACTTTTTCTGGCCTAGTTGATGGATGTTGCTGCCAAGAAACAGATGGATGCCAGCGGCTCCTGCTTGAGCCCAGTGACTATAGGAATGATCAGTTAGTTACTCGGGGGCAGTGGGAATGTGGATTGTTCTGTAAATTCACTCAAGCGTTTCTGTTCTTGGAAATTATACACACACGTATGTATACATTCACACATCCCTGCATGTAAATGTAAATGTAGCGTACTTTGTTTCAGGCTACAGGTGAGTTCTTTGGTATTGAATCTTGTTTTACCACTGAAGGAGGCCAGCGATTCCTTATGTTGTAGGGAGGTCACAGTTCCCTTGGAAATCTAATGAAGGTTGTGGGTCCTCTCCCAGAGAAATGTATATATGAACAAATTTTTTTTCAGGCAGTTTTAGGAGATCCAGGGGGATCCTAAAGCCTATCAATCAACCTCCCCAATTTAAGATCCTAAGAACCTCATAACTCCTTTATTCACTCATTCAACAAATAATTAAGGATCAGACGTTGTGCTGGATGTTGAGCACAGTGGTGGACAAAACAGAGATGATCATGTCCCATGGAGAGTCCAGTGGAGAGACGTGTTAAATATATGATCTCACAAATAAGAATTATAAACCAATAAGTCTTATGTTGGAAGATTAAGGAATGTTGTCACAGAGTGTAACAAAAGGGCCCAAGTTAGATGGGGGGGCCAGGTCAGGTATATTTTTCAATCAGTAATCAGCATTGATTTAAGGTTCATTGTTCATTCATTGACAGTAACTAATGGCCTGTGAATTAACCCTATACCAAAGAATTCATAATTTTAAGAAGTCCTAGGTATATTGTTTTATAAATGAAAATGATCAACTGATAACTTACCTGTTAAGTTTTATTTTCATGTGTCACGTGTTTATACACCGGTTAAAAACCCAATTCCAGCTAAGGTGACCATTCCTGAGTATTAGTTTGCTAGGGCTGTGGTAATAATACCACAGACTGGGTGGCTTGAACATCGGAAATTTATTTGCTTATGGTTCTGGAGGCTTGAAGTCCAAAATCAAGGTATTGGCAGGTCTAGCTTCTCCCGAGACCTCTCTTCTTGGCTTACAAACAGCCACCTTCTCGCTGTGCTCTCCCAAGGCCTTTTCTCTGTGAGCGCCTGGCATCGCTCTGTATGTCTTAATCTGCTCTTTTTGTAAGGGCACCAGTCAGAGTGGATTAGCTCCCACCCTAATGGCCTCATTTAAACTTAATCATCTCTTTAAAGACTCTATCTTCAAATGTAGTCACATTCTGAGGTACCAGGGGTTAGGGCTCCAACATATAAATTTGGGGGTGGGTACAATTTACTTCATAACATAGAGAAATAATTGCATTTCATTAAATCATGGAAGGAAAATCAAATTTTCTGTGTTTTATCTGTGAGTTGGTACCAATGGAAGCCATCAATTACTAACATATCAAGAGTGTCTCTGGGAGTGATACCCTACTAATATCCTACTAAGTATGGTACATGAGCAACTCTAAAAGGAAAAAGTTAAAATTGGTCGATCTTTAGATTTTTGTCATACTATGTTTTTTTAAATTCCCATTGGGGAATCCTACTCTTCTGATATTCAATAATAATAACAACAATAACCACCCACCTACTAAATTACCACCCAGGAGGAAAATATTCTCTGGCTTCTTACAGAGCCTCAGAAAGCCAGGTTTCCTGAGCTCTCTGGGGCCCTCCTCTTTCTTAATTCTGCCTTCTGCTGTGGAAGCCTTTCTCATAAATTCTCCTTCCCCTGAGTGTGGCCCTCTTCTCTGTTGGGGGTGTGGGCAGATGGAAGTGAAGGCAGGTTGTAATATGCACAGAACAGTCTTACAGCCATCTATGCTCTGGTTCTTCGTGAGACACAGGAGCACAGACAAACATAACACAACCTTATTTACAATTTTAATTAGCTGGTTCTTTGGGAAAACATAAATTGTTAATGGCTTCTGTCTGGAGTTTTAAAATATGAAATGATGTTCGTTTTCTGTTATTACGACTGTGAGGATTCACATTAGTGATGACAGTGTGCATCTGGGTGGTAGGAGTCCTCTCTGCGGCGGCGTGCTTCATAACTGCCTTAATCCTATTAATTTGCTCACCAGAGGCACATACTGCCACTTGGCGGTGTGCATCAGCCCAATCGCAGCAAAGACTGTGGTGTTCTCTCTTTGTTTTGAGAGAAGCCTACTGTTTAGAAAAACTCAAACTGTTTTCCCTCTGCTCTCACACCACAATCATCAACACAGAAGATTCCTGTGACCAAACGTCAGGGGACGGGGTTCTCCCCACCAACAAACAAGCAGTCTTTTCTGCAGCTGACACCAGCTGGGTGTATTCCAATT